AACATGAGCCCTATAACTTGTCCTTCAGTTTTCTGTCTCTTCCCTTACATTCATTTTATGAAGTAAATTATATGCTTCAGTCAGTCTGCTCTGACTTATAATGAGTGACCTTCATGCACAATGCTGCTTGGATTACTCCAGAGTGTGGCCCATCAGTTCAGATTAGATTCTGCATCCTGACTGGAATTCTCTTTTACCAAGACTGCTAAAATTATACTTTGCATTAAATATTAATATAAGATGAAAACATGATGTGTCTTTTAGCAAAGAGCTTTACTGAAAGAAAAATGATGGATTTTTCTCCCTTCTCTAGCTGTAAGCAAGTGAATTGAAAGATGGTCATGTATTCTGGCAAGGTTTTTAATATATTTACAATTATATTTTGATAGTATAATCTTTATTTCCATATTGGAAAAGTGGTATGCTCACTAATCTGAAAACATATGTAATGACAATAGACAGTCCCCCTAAGGTGAATGAATGTGTCTTGCTAGTCCGGAAAAGAATACAGAACAGGGCTGTTATTTCAAAGAATGATATGATACAATCAAGAATACAGCATACTGGAAGACTTCCTTTCCCCAGGAACATTGTTTCACTGCTACTAATTTTAATAAGATTGCCTATAACAATGTTAAACCATCCACTGGGTATGGTGGCACATGCCTTTCATTCCAGAACTCCAGAGGCAGAGGCAGGTGGATCTCTGTGAGTTCAAGACCAGTCTGGTCTACAAAGTGAGTTTTAAAATCAGCCAGGGATATACAATGAGACCCTATCTTTAATCTAACAACAACAACAACAAACAAACCCAGACAACAACACCCCAAAATGTTAGTACCATAGAATAGAGGATGGCAGTTTTATGATAACAGTCTCTAGTAATTATCTTATTATTAAATATTAAACTACTTGCTAAAATTTAGGCCCAATCTTTGAAATGAGACAGTGTATTAGTGATTTTTTTTTGAGGCTCAAATAAAATTTTAGTTTTCTAGTGATATTTTATCAGTTTTTAAGGCTGTATAATAGACATTTCAAACTGCATAGTAGCCAATCATTAACATTACAATTAATACTGAGTGCAAGGTTGATACTTTCAAAACTAAATTGCTTTTTAATTTTTTTTTTAAATTTTGAATTAGTCTATATTTGGTTATTAAATATTTTTTTCCCTGATTAGTCGAAAAGGCTGTATTTCCTTTGATAGCTGCAGCCAGCAAATCTAAGGTTGCTTAAAGGATCTGTCTGACCTTCCACAAGAAGTCACTGAAATGAACATTAGTTCCTTTGGGAGTGAGAAGGGTCAACACCATGCGGAAACCTAACAATTCAGATGGACTTGCTACTTAAGTGGAAACAGCTGTGTCCGGCCCACAGCGAAAGCAGGGCCTGGGGGACTGGATCGCAGTCTCAGATTCTTAGTTGGAAGGGCATTTTAAATATCTTTTAATTCAGTCATTCATTTAAACATTGCCTTTCCCCATCTCCAACTCCTGGCTGAATACCCTTTGGCTTCCAAGGCAGCCCACTGCTTTCTGTAATTTCCCCTGTCTATCTTATTGGGAAACATTCATGTTTGTGTTAAGCTCCTTCAAGCTGAAAGAGAAGAGCAGGGTATCACCCATTAGAGATGCACCATTCACACAGGTCAAGCACATGGTTACTGCCTTTAATGAGTAGATGGTCCGGATTGCATTCCCTACTAGGTAGCTTGCACAGACTTCAAGAAGCTTTTGCATGGATTAAATAGTATTCAGTCACATGGAAAGCTGCTTAGGCCGGGCGGTGGTGGTGCATGCCTTTAATCCCAGCACTTGGGAAGCAGAGGCAGGTGGATCTCTGTAAGTTCGAGGCCAGCCTGGTCTACAAAGCGAGTTCCAGAAAAGGTGCAAAGCTACATAGAGAAACCCTGTCTCAAAAAAACAAAAAAACAAAAAACCAAAAAAAAACAAAAAAAAAAAGAAAGAAAAAAAAAAGAAAAAGAAAAAGCTGCTTGGCCTGGCCTCAGGTTGTCTTTTGGACCATTAAGGGAATCTGCCTGTGCAGGGAACTGGGGGATGCCAAGGGGAGAGTTTCCCTGGGAGTCCTCCCTCAAGCTTTCCAAGTCCCTTATGTTGCCCAGATGGCCATATATACCCATAATTACTAAGTAGCAGAGACTAGATTGACACTATGAATTGGGTGAGGAAGCCTGGGGGATACATTTGTGCAGTATTAGAGGACTTGGATTTCTGTTTTTAATTCTACCAATGAGCTTTATAATCCTAGTGTGCATTCTATGATTTTCACCTATAAAAGGAGAATGTGCTTAGAATTCAAGGTTGTTGAGAAAATTAAAAGAAACAATGGACAATAGGTTAAAAAATGAAACCTATACTCTTTTCATCTTCATATTTAGTAACAATGTAACTTTGGAGGCCTAATACCTTAATGGGAGGTGAATTAACTAATATGTACTTACAACCTGTAAGCACATTAAGCAATTGCCATATCAATACAAAACAATAATTATTTAAAGATTTTATTCCCATTACCTGTAATGTTGAATACTTCAGGAGTCAAGGAAAAAATTGAAGATGACAGTTTTAAGATATTAAATATAAAGATAAAAACAACAGTTGGTGTCCATTGACTGTTATTTCCTAGTCACTATTTCATATAGCTTATATATGTATGTAATATATAATGTATTCTATTTTGTGGATTGTGGCTAGTTCCAAGTTTCTAAGTTCAGTCTCCTTTCTTCTTTATATAACATGCTTTGACCAAATTGAAAGTTCACTCATCTGTATCCAATCAAACAATGAAGATAAGGTGGTTTTCATTTTTGTTTTTTAAGATAAATTTTGGGTTTCTTTACTTAAGATCTTTCATGATCATTTTCTATGGCCTAAAGAGTCATAATTTGAGCTGCCTATGTATAGTTCGAAATGACATTCATAAATCTTTGCCTGAAACTTGAGTCATATTAAGAAAAACAAGATTTTTTTGTTGGTGTTGGCATATGCCTTTAATCCCAGCACTCAGGAGGCAGAGGCAGGTGGATCTCTGTGAGTTCGAGGCCAGCCTGGGCTACAGAATGTGTTCCAGGACAGGCGCCAAAGTTACATAGAGAAACACTGTCTTGAAAAAATAAAAATAAAAAAGGAAAAAAAAAACCAGGATTTCAATTGTGAATTATTCTTATAATTTAGGATGAAATTATAAAAAGTCCCGCACAGATCTGTTTTTACTGTTTACTTTCAAGTATATTTAATACTCTTTTGGCTATGAGCACAGTGTTTCCATCCTTCGGCTGATTCAAGTAGCAGTAGATGACTCTTGTCAATATATACTGTTCTAGTTTCATTGAAAATAAAATTATTATTATTTTATTTATGTAGGTTTTTTCTCTCTGCATGTATGTCTGTGCATCACATACAGTCCTGGTGCCTACAGAGGCCAGAAGAGGGAGGGCCTTGGGTCCTGTGGAATTGAGATTACAGATGGTTGTGAGCCACCATGTGGGTGCTGGGAATTGAACACTGGTCCTCTGGAAGAGCAGCCAGTGCTCTGAACTGCTCTGCCAGCCGACTTGTTTCAGTTTTAAAGAACACTCTACTCTTACAAAGGTTACGAAAACAACAGTAACAGCAAACACCTGTCCTCATTCCTTTCTCTGATGCCTTACTGTGCGTTTTCATTTTTCCTTCTCCCAAGTTCCCTTTTGCTGTTCTCTATAGATGTATGAAGCACCTACAGTCATCATTTTTGTCCATCCCACCTCTCACTGATCAGCATTGCTAGACTTGGCAATCTCAGACTTCTAGACAGAGCACTGGGAACTTTCAATTCTATGACGATGTGTGGCAGTGTTACTCAATTTTACATGGCCGTGGCCATTTATAGTTCCAGGGAGAAAGGTAACTCTCATTTCATAGACGTTTGCAAATGTTGTCTAAATCCTGTCCCTATATCAGTTTTGAGAAGCCCTACTCTTGCTTCATTGTCAAAATATCAGTATACGAGAAAGGTACTCTTGAAACTCTGTTCGGAGAGTAGGATTAACTAAATTAATTCAAGATAAACATGAGCTCCCTGCAAAGAGATTTTTTGTATCTTTAAGAAAAAAATACAGTCTGCCAATTTTAACTGATTTGTGTGTAAGTCTGAGTAAGAAACTACAGTATTGATTGCGAAAATGTCTTGGCTCCTGCAGCTGGTGTAGAATACCTCTCCATGTGAATGGATTTGGGTCCTCTCTGACAAGGAAACATTTCCCTTCATATAGTACTTATTAGAAGTTTTACTGTAAGTTTCTCTGCCCCCAAATCATAGTGCCTTCCATTTAAACTAGTGTTCTTTTCTTCTGATGAGGGAATGTTTTACCCTAACAGGTTTGCAGTATCTCTTCATTGGTTTTCTGAATCTTCATTGACTTGACTTGTGTCTATTTTATGGTATCCCATTTGGTTTGTTACCCCAACTTCATTTCAATCTATACCTTAGTTTTATTTGAATTTCTGGACATATTGAGTCTCATTTCTACCATAACTTAATCTTCCCCACCCCATAACAATTATTCTCTGAACTGGGGGCTTGTGTTCTTATCACAGGACATCAGGTCACAGAATATCTCATTCTGCTATGGACTTATTTTGTTTCTCAGTGCAGTGTAGCAGGAAGCTCCTGAATAGGAGATGTGTCTTGTGAACGCTGACCATAATGCAATAATGTAATAATAATATAATAATAATACATGTAATTGAGCTTTGTGTTTTATGAAGTCTCTCTTAAGTTAGACCTGTTAAAGCATTAAACCCAGCAATGAGAGCATAGTACAAACTCAAGAGCCATATATGGAAAGGACATAATACCAAGAGTCTAATGGTTACTGAGAAAAGCTGCTTAAGGAAATCCAGCACATCAAACCCTTGAGGCAATCTACAATTCACACCTTGCTACCTCCCTCACAACTGTACATGAGTTCCATGCAGTAGTCAGTGTGAGCTACTTACTAAGGCGAATTTTTTGTTGAGAATCATCTGCTCCACTAAAGATGATTCATTATGGAAGAGGTGGGGCTGCATGTGGCTCCACATGTGAGGGAACCACCAGAACTCATCCACAGACCCCAAAAGACAGTCATCCCCTTCATCTTCCTCTTCAGTTCCTGTAGGGGCAGAAATGATTATCCAGTTAATTCCAACTGCATCTTCATCTCTATCTATCTATCTATCTATCTATCTATCTATCTATCTATCTATCTATCTATCTAATTTATCTATTATCTGTATCATCTGTCAGTTATGTAGTATCAACATATTATACATTTATCATTTATATTATTACCTATCTATCAATCATTTATCATGTACTTTATTTAGAAGACACCATTATCTCACATGCACATAAGTCACTGAATCCAAATTTAGAAAAGGAAAATCTGTTAGGGAACAATCAGAAGCTGTGACAAAATTTTTTAAAAGATTTTTTTTTATATTTTAAATTATGTGCATGTGTTTTTCTGTGTGTGGGTATCTGTATATATGTGTGGTTCAGGAAAGGCCTCAAGAGGGTGTCAGAGCCTCTGGAGCTGTGTTACAGCTGATTATGAGCCATCCGACATAGGTCAATGTTGTGGAATATTTATTTACACTGTGTGAAGATGTGTCACTGTGATTGGTTGAATAAAGAGCTGAATGGTCAATAGGTAGGCAGGAAGAGGTTAGGCATGACTTCCAGGGACAGAGAGGACTCTGGGAAGAAGAAAGGTGAAGACACCAGCAGACTCAGAGCAAGTTGGACATGCCATACTGAGGAAAGGTAAAAACCATGTGGTAAATTACTAGAAGCAGATTAATTTAAGTTATAAGAGCTAGTTGCAGGCAAGCCTAAGCTTTCATAATTAATAAGTCTCCATGTCACTATTTGGGGGCTGGTGATTCAAAGGTAGTCCAACAAGAGCTTGCTACAGGTTGTAGTAACAGACCTCTGACTCTCTGAAAGAGCAGTACACACTCTAAAGTGCTGAGCCATCTCTCCAGCCCCAAAAACCTTAAAAAAGCTATTAAACATGAGATATGAATATCAAAACATTTTAATGTCATCTTTAAAATTAATATTTAAATCTAATATTTAATAATAAATATAATCATTCACAAAGACATTAGGCTCTTCAATCATCAGAGTCTTCGTACAGCTGGTAGGATAGAGAGAATGAGTAAGGCACAATATCAGTTATTTTACAAATAGCAGGACTGCAGAAGAGGATGTAAATGATTTTGACACAGCTTGTACATTCAGATGCAAGAAAATAGCTTCCTGGTTTGTGCATGGTGTTGGCACACAGTGGTGTCTATGGCAGTTCCTTGCCTCACCTTTCACAGTGGAAACAGAAAAGTTTCTTGAGGTGTCTCCATTATCATCTCATCCTGAGCTCTACCTCCCTAGCCATGAGACTCTGACAGAGTTAGCTGGGGCTCCCTAGTGTGTGAACTGTTTCTAGGCTGCTTTTTCTGCTTCCCCTTCCTGTCACATGTAACTTCTGTCTTTCCCTGTGTCTGTTTGTCAGCATTTCTTAATTTTCCAGCTAGTTTAATGAGGGGAAAGAGCAACGGATCTCAGGGTCCTTTAGAAAGATGGTTCAGGCATGATAGTTATCCTTTTCTGAACATCATAGTAAAATTTCATTTGCAACTTTTATACATTGGAAGCATGCTCAATTTAAAGAAATGATTTTGCCGGGCGGTGGTGGCACACACCTTTAATCCCAGCACTTGGGAGGCAGAGCCAGGCGGATCTCTGTGAGTTCGAGGCCAGCCTGGGCTACCAAGTGAGTTCCAGGAAAGGCGCAAAACTACACAGAGAAACCCTGTCTCGAAAAAACCAAAAAAAAAAAAAAAAAAAGAAATGATTTCTACCATCTGACAGATTTCTTAATTCACAGGAAACATAATTTTATGTCTTTCATTTTTTTCTTAATAGCTCTCTTTATCTGACTTCCTTGAATCCCAGTTTGGGTATATTTTAGATCAGAATCAATTATATTGAGTGGAAGTATCTATTTATTACTTTCAAGATGATGATAAAACAAATGAAGTGAATGTAGTTGCCTGTGTTTGGATTACTTTGGCATCCTCTGTAGGAACCAGGGGACAGAAATGAGAAGTCACATCTCTTGTGTTATTACAAATGATTCTTGAGCCCAATAAAATCACTGTCAGGAGCAACTTATTTTGCTATATGTGTACTTAAAAACTTTACTCTGGAGTGCATCCTCCTTTGCTTTTACATTGTAAACTGTCACCAACTGAGACATCAGCGGAGGTAACACGGCTGTGAAGAGTTTTATGGCACTGTCCTGTTCAGTTCTCACGGCACCCTGTCAAAGGTCACAGGTAACTTCACTTTCTCAAATAAGGAGGCTGGTCTTTACAGAGGCCAAGGAGCAGGTTCTGAGTCAAAGCGAAGGTTAGAAGTACCCTGAGTACCAATTTAATTAAGCAACTCTACATTCAGGGCCCTTAGTTGTTTTTCATTGGCCAAATATAGACTCCAGAAATAGGGTCAGAATTTCCCAATTCAATACCATAGTGCTTTCCATATTTTCAGGTAATTCTGATGCAATCAGAATGGACAGATGTTCTAACTTACACTTAGCAGTGTTTTCCCGATATGTTCTAGCCTCACCAACCCATAGACATGAGAACTCTTTTTACCACCTAACTTTCCCAATGAACGATTGCCAATTAAATAATAAGCTCTATAGGAAAACTGCATTCTGGTTAACTGAGGGCGAAGACTATCTTCTGGTTAACTGAGAGTGAAGACTGTCTGGGCACTTTACTAGCTACATAACTTTGGGCCCTTCAAAATCCAAGATAATGTTGAAATGAAAATAACTCAAAGAAGTCAGGCTGGATAGATGGCTTAGTGGTTAAGAGCACTGGCTGCTCTTCCAGAGGATCCAGGTTCTATTCCCAGAACCCACACGACAACTCACAGCCATTTGTAGCTCCGGTTCCAGGGGCCCTGACATTCTTTCATGGCCTTCACCAGCACCAGGTACACATATGGTGCACAGACACACACACAGGCAGAACACCCATAAATATGAAATAAATTTTTAAAAAGAAAGTTTTTTTTCCTGATACATTTTTTACATTAAAGCAGCCCCATTTTTCTTTTTCCCTTCAAGACTGAATAAAAAGGACAGTTTTCAACAGAGGCAGGAATCAATTACAAAGGAAGACAATGTGCTTTAATTAAGTTTTATAACATCTAATTTGAAAGGCTGAGACTTAAATTTTATATTTGTTCCCATGAAAAATGATTTCTCTGGTCTTAGACAGCCCTGGCAGGACCTTTCCTCTTCTACACAGAGCATGAGATCTCGCCACCCTTGGCTCTGCCTCCACCTCCACCCCCCCCCCCCCCCCCCCCCCCCCCCCCCGTGTGTGCAGGTCTCCAGTTGATTTAGAGAGAGCACCCTCATTGTGAACTGTGAGAAGTGCTTTTATTAGAAACAAAACCCCCCCAAAAACACAACACAAACCTTTCATAGCTTAGAAGGAAGGGGTTTCACAAATAACATCATTTCTAGTGTCCATGGTTGAGAGGAGAAGACCGAGTTGCCAGGAGACATTTGTGTGTTTCCTGAGTTTGGGCTGGCCTGGTGTTAAGTCTATAGGTCTTCATCTCATCACCTTCCATTTGGTTTGAACACAGAACGGAGCCCCATAGACTCGTGTGTGGAAGGCTTGGTCCTCAGTGTGCTGCTATTTTGGGAGGGGGCAGAGACTTGAAGGGCCTAGCTAGAGGAAGCAGGTCTCTAGGAGCACACCTCCTCCCTAGCCCCTTTCTATTCTGTTTCACGACTGCTATGAGGTTAATGGCTGCTGTACCACACACAGCCACCATGATGCTCTGCCCCACCACAGGCCCAGGCATGATGGGCAAAGCAGGCCATGGGAGAAACTTTAGAAAACAGAATTCAAACCCTTTTTCTCTTAAAACTTCCCACAGGTACTGCAGTAACAGCCTGGGTAATACAACCTCTTTCAAAGATACTATATATTCAGTATGTGTTCTGATTCCTTCTCCACATCTTGATTTCCCTCTCTTTACAGATGTCAGAGCATCTAACAGCTTGACATTAGGGAGGTGACCATGGACAGTCTGCTTCTTTAGGCTTTTTCTATTCTCTGATGTGAAAGGCATCAGCATGGTGGGCCTAACATCGCTAGAACCAGGACCTGAGCTCCTGTACACTGGAGATCCTTTCATGGGGAGCACTCCATTGTTTCTAGTTTAAGAAACCTTTGGATATCACAAAACTGGAAATCTGTGACTAATATGGGACTTATTTTGTGCTTTTTCTCAGCTCTGGTTCAAGCTACCTTCTTTCCATGGTACAGTTCTGTAAGCAGCATGAATTATTGGAAAGCTTCCCCTCCTCAGAGATGAGATTAGTGTGTTTCTGTGGCCCTTGTTTCTTTCTCTCTTTTTAGCTTACTGGATCTGCTTGTTTCCATCACACAACTTACTGGAAGTACCTTTGTAATTAATAACAGTGTTTGCTAGTGAAACCATGGCAGTTTGGTTCATCTTTCTTATAACTGCTTTGGCTATTCTTGGTTATTTGAATTTTCATATAAAGTTTAGAATCATGTTACCAATACCCACCAAGAAACTTACTAGAATTGTGTCTGAGACTGTATTAATTATAGATCATGTTGGAGAGGACTGAATTCTTAAATCTAGTCTTCCAATCCTTGGACATGTTTCAGCTTTTTAAAGTTATACCCAATACAACTGTATCATTCTAAAACTTATTCCTGAAACTTTGTTGATGGAATAGTAAATGATACTTTGTTTTATTTATCTATGACTTTGATGATGGTGTGCAAAAACATAACTGATTTTTTACATTGCACAAAACTCAAGAAAAGCTATTAAAAAGGTAAAATTGTCATTTAAATTAACTATTTTCACTATCCACAAACATGGAGAGAGAACAGACAGCCCAGACAGTGAGAGGAAAGAGCTTATAATACATGTAACTGAGAAATCATCACACAGAATGGTTCAAGAATCTACAAGTCAGTACCAAAGAGAAAAACCTAGAAACAAGTGCTCCTCAGAAGAGGACCTCAGATAGCCAGTAATCATGTCCATAGCGCGTTTCCTATTCCTAAGACATATATGTGTGGAAAACATCATATAAATTTCTACATTCCCACAGCACAGCTAAAATTTAAAAGGGAAATAACATGAAACATGAGGCACAGTCCTCAGACAGCTAGAAATATACACTGGAAAAATCAGTTTGTAAAATCGGTTGGTTTTTCCTCTTCAAGTTTTCATGTATGTGTCGTGTCAACAACTACACTCTGGGCTGAGATCCAACAGAAAAGAACTTACGTCCTCTGAGAGACAGGGATGAATGCCTAACAGGATGATCTAAGAAATGTCAAAGGCTAGAAATAACCATCCACATTGCAGAAGAATGAATAAGGTGTTGGTATGCACAAATGAAACGCTACCAAGAAAAATAAGAGTATGGTAATCTATGCACCATATCTGTGTGACTAACACAATGTAGAACAACAGCAAAAGCTGGCTATGGTGAGTTTACACTTACGTAATAGCCAGGTGCAGCTAACAAGGTACTGGTAGCCAGGGGAGCAGTTTAGAAGTGTTAGAAGCAAGAGGCTAGAGACTACAAGAAGGGCATAGGATGGGGGTATGATAATGCTTTTTTTTGCTCTGCTTGAGAGTTAAACAACTGTGTACAGTTTGTGAAAATTCACTAATGATCATGTTTGTTATTTATGGACTTTTTTACTTATTTTTCCTTCCTTCCTTCCTTCCTTCCTTCCTTCCTTCCTCCCT